AATCATGTCTTTTACCCTACCGAATGTTATACAGTCATCCATTGGATACAGGTTATTATTTTTATTCTTAAAATATGTTTTAAAGCCAGGGTCTGGACAGAGTTTGGGTGAAGTAATCCTTTTCCTGAGTTTGCACACCTGTAACAGTTTGGGCGGCACCTTTTATCTAAAATAAATGATCAAATCAACTTTAGAATCGGACCGCTCCCGCCCTCTGGTGGCCAGTATATATCATTACAGTTAGTTGAAACCAAATATATATATATCTATATTTTCCATTTTAAGAAAATATTTGTTTTCTACCATTTTTAGATCAATGTCAAAGAGGCCAACTTTTGGGGTGTTCTTCGTGATAACCGCTTTTGGCGTCAAAGAAAAGAACACTGTCCCTTTAAATCCGCCAAACGGGTCTTTATTTGGCAGGAAGTTAGCTTAGCTAGCAGCAAACCAATAATGAGGACACTCTGAGGAGCAGTTAGCTGCTTCTTGCGCCCTTTAAAAAGGTAACATGAATACACTTTAACTCATAACGACATAAACGCGAACTCTCTGGGATTTTGTTGCTCTCAGACCGATCCGTGGTGTTTATTTCAGGTTTGGCGGTTTGAAACCAGTTAGACATGGCTGATGGTGGCTGAATGACATGCAGCAGGCAGCACTTCAACAAATCTAACAGAATACTGTTAGTAAATATTAACAGTAAAGGCTTGGTTTAATGAGGCCCAGTCTTTGTGAGGCTTAGTTGTTGTTGTGTTGCGAATCTCTAAGACGCTTAGAAGCTTTGGCAGCGCATGAAGGATTTATTCATGTGGATTGTGATGCTACACCTGGATGAAATCTAGCTCTATTTCTATCTACCATCTATCCACACTCTCCTGATGTCTTCAGAAAAAAATCTAGCTTCAATTACTCTGAGTTTTTTACTTCATCAGCCTTTGAAATAGTTACATACACTTTATTTTCTAATGTAAATAGTTAAATCCACTTTATTTTCTAATGTTTCTTGCTCTCATCAGGGTTTGCTGACATTATTTTTCTCCATTTCAGTAAATTTGATGTCTGAACTTTGACTGGGCCTTTGCTACACATTGATTATTTACTTTAGTCTCCATGCTGTTGTAGATGTGTTGCTGTGGTTGGGGACAGTTGGCCACATTTTAGCATTATACTTTATTTTGCATGTTCAAAGTTTAAAAAACAAACAAAAAGACTAAACAAAACAATTCCACATCATCCCCTCCATCCTTCACAGCTTGTTTGGTTTGAAAGAAACTTTTGCATCTCAGTGATCATTGCTGATCTCTTTTTTTTTTCTTGGGTTTTTTTTTCTTTGAACTTTAGGTTTTTAATTTTGTTTTTTTAGTAGTGAGCAGCACTTATATTTCTAATATTGAGTTATAATGAATGTATTAAGGCGACTTAAAGTTTTTTTTATGAAATTTTAAATTTTTTTTTACACATTTGTCTTCTCTGAAGCCTCTTTGTCTAAATAATAAGCGATGTCAGGACAACTGCAGACTCTTTAAGGGATTGCTGTTTGTTTTATTGGACCACCTTTCAGGCTTTGGCTCTGAGGATTGTCACATCCTCATTAGTGGGTTTCATTATCTGTCAGGATCTCTATTGTTTCTGTTTTGTGTTAAATGCATTTTCACTCTATAAATAAATCAAACTGTAAAATACAACATTGTTTTGATGCATAAATGTTAGCTGTCTTTACCATTACAGTTATGAGATCAGTAACACATCATTTTCTTGGAGGTAAAAAAGGCAGAATAGATAAAAATCAGAACTATCGGGTCAGAGCTTAAAGGTGAATAGAAATAATCTGACAGAAAAAAACCTGATCTCTTTATAGAGCGTCATAAAACCCTCCATGATTTGTTCATCATCAAGTTTTGTTTGTGCTGTTTTATTCTAGTATGATTACAGGTTTGGGGACAGAACAGTTGACAATAAATGGTAACTGTTGGAAAGAACTGTTAAAAAAACGTATTTTCTTTTTTGCACAGGAGAACCATATTTTTAACCTGTAATTGAAGACAAGTTCAAATCAGCTATGGTAAGTAAGGAGCAGAAAGTAGCAGTATTGATGCTAACCTGCAGTTTTAAGAGAATCCAAGTTCTGCTGTGAACACGGATATGATGCGTCATCATTTCTCCCTTCAGACTGTTTTTAAGTAGACTGAAGTTTTATCCTAATACCTCATCTGGAGGTGACTACCCTCCTCATTCTTGTGCTTGTCTCCCTTTCTGCATCTCAGTCTACGGCGGTGGATCTTAAAACCAAGGAGGAGAAAGATGCAGAATTGGACAAACGAATCGAAGCTCTGAGAAAGAAGAATGAAGCTCTGGTTAAGAGGCACCAGGTATGGGAGTTTGATTTAATGTGATTTTACCCTATGCAGGGTTTTAAACATATACATTTATAAAATGAAGTTTTAAATAATATTAGTGGTGGGCCGTTATTGGCGTTAATGGCACACTCTTATCGGGCAATTTAAAAAAATGATCGCCGTTAATCTATTCTCACAGTTGGGAGCTGAGTCTTTACTAATGATGACTTTTACCTTGATATTTTAGCACAGATGTATATCTGGGGGCGAGAACGAATCAGTCTTCTAACCTGTGTAGGCGTACTGTAAAATTACCACAATGAACGTGGCGTGCTGACATGGATGCAGCTATAAGCGCCAAGCTGACCAATCTCCTCGCTCAGTGGATAGCCACAAGCTGCCTGCGTTGCCAAGGCGGCCGCAGGTGACCCATCTTACCGACTACCTGCAAAGCGAACTATCATGAGGAGAAAACATGTGGAGAAAGCTGCGAAAGATGAGAAGTTGATCGAGACGACGTGTGTCAATTTTTTGAAGACACTATATAGTTAAAGTGGGACATCTATAATTGGAAGTGGGTCACTCTCTTTTTTGCAACAGAAGCACATTAAAAAATGTGCAAAAAAGATGTTTATAACTTTGTAAGAAGACGAAATTAAATGTGATTTTGCAAACATAAAGAAATAAACTGTTTCTTTTCAATTCTGTAGTTAGCAACTCATATCATGAATGCCGTTGGCAGTATTCAAATGAGCGATTTTAATCTAGAATATTCCAAAATTACAGTGGGATTAATCTAGATTAAAAAAATGTATCTATGCCCACTGCAAAATAATATACAGCTTCCTCTGCTAAGGTTATCTGTCGAAGCATTTAAAATAAAGGCTCTCTTTTTACATTATCTGCTGCTAATTAATTAATGGTATATATATATATATATATATATATATATATATATATATATATATATATATATATATATATATACCATTATGTATGTATATTCTGAGTAGGCATAGAATTAAAACGCAGGATTTACATAAGGGTGCTTAAAAAAATCTAATTATTCAGACTGTTATTGACTTTGTGCAAAAAATATTATTTTGTAAGTTTGTTTAAAAAAAAAAAAAAAAGGTCCTTAATCATCCTTAATATGACTCACGAAAACCTGCAGAAAGTTTGTCTCTGCCTGCCTTAAAATGCTGCAGTCCGTGAAATTAGGAAGAGGTTTATTTGATCTTCTTTTAGGGGGGGTTACATTAATATGGTCTGGCTTATTCGTTGTCTCTGTTCCAACAGGAAATCGAGGAAGACAAGAAGAAGGCAGAGCAGGAAGGTATCGCCGTGACGACGCCCCGGAGACCCCGAACGCATGAGCCAGAGACGGACAGGCTGCGGGCGGAGAAGGAGAAGGAAAACTTTACAGTCACTGTGGATCTTTCCAAGCCATCAGCGGTGAGATGCAGTTTTACATCTTTCAGAGAGACGTTTGGCGCTAAGTGCATCCAAACATGCAGGTTCCCATCTTGCAACTTATCTAACTACTGAAAATCAGCTCATGTTGATTTTCACTCACTCACTGTCCATAGCGTTCCTTGACAGTGTCGTTTCTAAGTCACCAATTAAGTGCTACTTGGTCCCAATGGAATTTCCCATTGGGAACCTACTAGCACTAAGTTGCTAACTGGTTAGCAATTTAGTGCTACTTGGTCCCAATGGAATTTCCCATTGGGAACCTACTAGCACTAAGTTGCTAACTGGTTAGCAAGATGCTTCCCACAAACCGGCCACACCCAAACTTGCTTGCGAACTTTCCGCACAACAACCCTGCCCCCTCGATAAATGACCAATCACATTCACTTTATCCACTCTCGTAAAGTCACGTATCACTCTGGTGAACTCGGAAATGAAACGGTTGGAACAGCCGCTTCCCTACGACTCTAAAGTCTAACCCGAAACTCTTCTTTTCTTCACGTGTTTTTTGTTGAAATGCTCTTCTCAGTGACTCCTTATTTGAGGATCCCGTCCTAAATTTTTGGAAACCGATAATTAGCAACAGTTGTTAGCGTCATGCTAGTGACTAAACGGAACAACTTGGATATTATAATTTTTCTAGTTTCAAAGTTTGGCTGCTCAGTTGCGCAGTGGGTAGCACTGCTGCCTTGCAGCAAGTGGGTTCTGGGTTCGATTCCCGGCCCAGGGTCTTCCTGCATGGATTTTGCATATTCTTCCTGAGCATGCGTGGGTTCTCTCCGCGTACTCCGACTTCCTCCCACTGCATGTCCTGTGTTGCCCTGCGATGGACTGGCAACCTGTTCAGGGTGTACCCCACCTCTCGCCCATTGACATCTGGAGATAGGCACCAGCACCCCTCGCGACCCCAATTGGAACAAGCGTGTCAGATAATGGATGGATGGATGGATAGTTTCAAAGCTTTTTTTTTAACATGGAGACTAGGAGGAGGTTCAACTGAATAAACTCAATACTCACCCTCAACTTAGCTAATCAGGTTTGAACCACGCTTCCACAAAAGCCAATCAGCTAAGTTCATTTTAAAAGGCCCCCAATCGGCAACTTGTCTGCTCCTAGTGCCCAAGCGGTGGTAGCGCAGGTGGTGGTAGCACTGTCTGACTTCATTCAGATGACCCTGTTTCAACCCCCTCCAGCCCCTCCTCCACCATTGTAGCTAAAACTTCATCAGCGTGTCATTACTCCAGGACTCTTATTGCATTCCACATCTCATTTCAACCGGTCTGGTAGAAGACCTCCACGTTGAGCCTGGTTCTGCCAGAGGTTTGTTCTCAATGGGGAGTTTTTCCTCTCCACTGTCGCTCCATGCTTGCTCATCATGGACAGGTTCTCTCAACTTGTGTTATCCAACTAGACTTCTATCTTCTAGGTCTCTGAGTGAAGCTCTAGTATCAGCTCAGTCAATCTACTGGATCTCCCCATAAAGCTCAGCGTACCGTCTCGCTAACTAGCAGTCTACAGACTGTCAGCTTCATCTATCTCCACTCAATCATCAGTTTCAGGCCTGGGGGGGAAACGGCCATGTTCTTTACTCCTGTTCATACATATCAATCAAAAATCCGCGCTATGTTTCCCACCGAGGTCTGAGCGCCAAAGACTAATGTAATTGTATCAAAACATTTCTTCATAATAATTGTCTTTTCTCTCCAGCTGAGTTTTTCAGATTGAAATAACTTTATTAAATTGTGAAAATTAAATTTGGTTCAAATCAAACCACTAAATCCAATCGGCTGACAGACATAACAAAACACCTGTTGGTTCAGGTCCCTCCTGTGGAGTCAGGTGGTTAAAAGAAACTAGATTAAAAAGCTGAACCATCTTCTTACTGATCCTAACTTATTCTTGGAAATCCACTTTAGCTCCTGCTGAGTTTTTGCCCCCCTTCCTGTTTATGGCCTTTATCATATTAGATTCATCTGAGCTGGGTGTGTGAGTATATTTCTGTTTTCAGACAAAAAATGAGAATTGCTTTTATTCTCAGTGTGATTCTCTTGTGTAGATTCTACACAAATATAATTAGAAACTTCTAATTTTAGAACAGCTTTTCTTGTAATGACCAGAAAACCGAAGACACTGAATTCAGCCATAACAACAAAGAGAAGTTTTAACAGTTTGTTGGAATGTGAAACTGCCGCAGGTCGGGCAGGGATTCACCTGAGTCAGCAACTGGAACTTCTTCTCTGAGTTTGGGGACAAACTTTGAGAGTTTCTGAGGATGCTGTTTGGCGTGTGGCATCACTGACGAACCGCTGAGGATTCCTGAATCCGTCCAGGTTAATTTAGATGAATCCTTCTTTGACAGTTACTCACTGGTCCAGGGGAATGCAGCGGGTCAGATCTGTGAGAGCAGAAACGAGCAGAATAATCAAGGGAACAAACTAGAGTACGTGATGCGAGAGCAGGTCCACAGAGCCAGATAGGCCAAGATCCAGAGACAATCTACGAGAGACCGGAGAGTGAAACCAGAAAACTGGTCAGAGATCTAAAAACCCACTATGACAGGTCTGATAGGGTTCAGAAGAGGCTCAGATAATCATGAGTCAGAATTCGGCAGATGGGTACAGGAATAATCTGGCACTGGTGAGAGCTGGTTATATAGTTCGGTACGCTTTAAATTGCTGATTTTTAGATTTTTTTTAATAGGCTACGTATGCCTTCAAATGTATTGATTTTAATGATTGTCTTTTACTCTGTTTTTAATGTTATCGTCTTTTAACCTTTGTTTTAATTTTCCCTTTTTGAACTGTAGCATAGATTTAAATTCAAATATAAAGTGCGTTACAAATAAAATGTATTATTATTACGCACGTGGATCTGATTAATTCTGATAGGAAACAAGGCGGAGCTCATAGGTGTGTTGAATCCTAAATCAGAGCAGAACTAGTACCAAGAATCATAATATTTTTAACCATTTTTTTATATATTAAATTAATTTACAGGTCTTTATTATTTTTAGGCAGGCTCTGTCCCCAGACCCCTGTGATAGACTAATGTTGAGTATCTGCTCTGTAAATATCTTACAGGACCAGCCAGGGCTGAATGACTGTTAATGTCTTTGACCTGTGGAATAAAAAAAATGTTCCTTCTAGTTTTCAAAGCAATACACACTTTCTGCTGAAAGTTCACTATTAAATTGGATATTTATGCAAAAAAAAAATAAATAAATAACAGATTTTTAACCAAGCTGTAATTCCTTTCCCTAATCACACAATCCAGTTAAAACTTAATAAAAGTTGTCTAATTCTTAAAGGCTGGATACAGCTGTTCTCTTTTTAAACTGTTTCCTTCTCGATGTTTGTTTGTGACAGGAAAAGAGAGTTGTAAATGACTGGAAACCCAACACGCCTCGTGGCCGGAAGAAATCAGAGGAGAACGATACTCCTAAAGGTCCCAGCGACGGCCACAGCCCACCCAGGAGGACGGGGTCTGGAAGAGTTGGCCGAGGTGGTCAGAGAGGAGGGCGCCAAGAAAGGAGAGAATGGGAGCCCAGGACCCCCAGAGAGGCAGAGCCTGGTGACTCTGGAGGCCCTGGACGCAGAGGAGGAAGAAGAGGAGGAAGAGGAGGAGGAGGAGGTGGTGGTGGAGGAGGAGGAGGAGGCGGGGGAGGAGGAGAAGGTACGCCAGGTGGAATTGACAGGAAGTCCAAGGTGAGAAAGGATGATCTACTTGCACAAAGTTAGTTTATAGCATTTTTCTAGGGATGCACCAATACAAGAAAATATGGGATGAAAAATAATGTAAATGCTATGGCTTATAACTAATAATTACATTTAAGATACTGATCTATTGGTCAATGTAGAGAAAACTTAAGATTTTCAATCAAATTATTAAAAGTCATGTTTAAATGAAAAGTCATATGAAACTAAATAAACAACCTTTCTATTCAAAAACCTTTTTTAGCATTTAGATTATTGAGCATCAGTTTTTTTTTTTCTTTTAAAAATGTTTCCTTTATTTAGGTTATTTAACCATCAGATTGGATGAAGGTTATAAGCATGTAGCTTTTATAAACACGAAATAATTTAAAATAAACTTCTTTTTAAAACTACTTCAATAAAGCATGAACTTTCATTATAACGGAATTCCTTCTGTTGAATATGGTGAATAAATAAATAAATATAGCAACAAGGCATTCAATGTCGTCTTTAAGAGTTTAACTTTCTCTATAAATAGAAGTTAAAGCTCTATTTCTAATACTGACAACAGAACTATAATATTAGAGCTGTGCATAAATCAGTGCCTTTCATAGCTCCACCTGTGCTATTAAACAAGCATCATTTACTGCAGTTGGATCATATTTACCTCTGAGATGATTTTTTTTTCCCGCCTCATGCCAGTTACTGAGGAAAACGGCTCATGTTGTAAATCATTTTAGCAGGGAGTTTAGTTCTGTATCTACAGAAGCCGAGAGCGGACATACTCTACTTTTTTTTTCTTTCCTTTGCCTTCTCGAGATAATGACATAACTATCTCATTATCAAGGTTAAACCCTTAATTGTTTTCTCGTGATAACGAGATAATTATCTCGTTATCACGAGAAAACAATTACTGATTTCTCAAGATAACGAGATGATTAATTTGTTTTAGTAATGAATGAAGCTGGCCAACAGCCCTGGAGTACCAGTCCATCCATGACTGCGGTGCCTGTAGTTGTGCTGTTGCAGTACCGCGACTGCGCATCAGCTTTTTTTTGTTTCCTTTGTCTTTTCTCTCATTGTCAGGCCGTGTTGGATGATTGGATTTAATGGAATACCGTAGAAACAAATCTGACTGTTTTTTTTTTGTGAAAATCTTGAATCTGGACTCTTTTTGGGGATTAATGCATCTTCTACCTGTTACAGGCGTAACACTGGGGCTGTTTAGAAAACACCCGGCCATAAGGCACCGGAGGCAAAGGTTTTATTTGCATTATGAATCAGAAGTGGAAGCAAATCATCAAACCAACAACGTTGTCTTGTTACATAAAAGTTAAACACGGGATTATTTACAGAATTACACATAGGCTGCCATGATTTATACTTAAAAATCTCCCGGCTGTTGTGGTATTGATGGATGTAATCAGTTTTAACACACACCAATCATCTCGTTATGATGAGAAAACAACTTTCTAATGAGAAAATGATCATCTTGTAATCAATAAAAAAAAAAACGTCTTCCGTTGTCTTTAGATAATGAGAAAGTTAACTTGTTTTCTCAAGAAAACCACTGTGAAAATCATAGGGACACGACCGCTCTGGGCTTTCGTACGTATCATTTGTCATTGGCATGATCAATTTCATCATAAGAATTTAGACTTACCGCCAAAATGTTAAATACCAATCACTTATGTTTTAAAAACTTCAAACCCTCCTAAAACTGACATCTTCATGTAACTGTTGTCCCGAAGAAGCCTATTTTAAATTGGTATGGTTTTCAGCAGCAGTATTTGTGCAGCTATGATTGCTTTGGCATGCAGCCGCAGCCGTACAGAAATACTGTAAAGAAAAAATCATTTTTTCATACACATTTTTATTGTTATCATGATGCTACCGTCTCCAAATGTTAATATACAGGTTAATTATTGATGCCATATGTTAAATATTTTTACCCATGAGAGTAATTGGTGGCCTAGTGCTAAGGGCAGGGTGTTCAGTGGTGCTGTGCTCTGATCAATTATTTCTCTGCAGTGCAGGGTTCTATAAATCATCTGTTTCCTAACATGGAGGAATACAAAGTACATGTTGGGGCCCATATTCCCCCTGCATTAGGTAACCTACTATGTGCATATGAATAAGGGTTATTTTCAGTTTGTTAGCTGAAGATTGTGCTCAAAAGTGTTCATTCCCCAACTATTTTTTAAAGCCCATTTGATATTTAGACTCTGGATTTATTCTCATATTCTTCATTTTATTTAATCCCTTTACTGGTGCTGGTTTTGCACTGAAACATGTTTAGTGCGAAACTGAATATATCATCTTTATTCTAAGCCAAGTTTACAGAGATATCCATGAATCTATTCAACCTCCAATCTACGATTCTCCTCTCTGAATAAAAACAATCTGCCAAAGGACTGACGTGATGTTTGTTTGTTTGTTTTTTTGGACAGGAATGGGAGGAGAAGAGGCGACAGAACATAGAGATGATGAACGAGGAAATGGAGAGGATAGCGGAGTATGAGAGAGGACAGAGGGTACCTGAGCTACTGGGTTCTTTCTCCTGGTTTTTACCGTATTAACTATGTTACAGTTTTCAGTGTTTGGTTTGTAATTTGTCTCTTCAGCCGGATGGAGATAAACCAATCCGTAACTTTTTGGACGACCCCAGGCGTTCTGGTCCCACTCCAGATACGGACCGGAAAGAAGGCAGCAGGAGACACGTACGGAACTGGGGAGGGCTGGACTTTGAAAACGTGAAAACAGGATCTGAACTGGAGAGAGAGTGGACTGTGAGTTTTTTTTTTTAATCAATATGTGGGATCAAACAATAAGCATGTCATATATCATAAAGCTTCAATGCTGCTGGTCTGTCCAGAGTCGTCGCCCGGGTCCAAAGGGCGGCTCTGTGGACATGACGATGTCGATGACGGGTCGCGAGAGAGCGGAGTACCTTCGCTGGAAGAAAGAGCGTGAGCAGATTGATGAGGAGAGATTAGCACGGCACCGTAACGCCACGGGCCAGTGGAGACGGGAGTGGGACGCACAGAAGACTGAGAACATGTGAGGATGGATTTAAAAATCTATGAATGGACGGATTTATAGATTTTTTTATTGATACCATCTTCCACCCCACTGCAGGAGGATTAGAGGCTGTTTATTTTGCCCTAATCCAATAAATAAATAAATAAAAAAAAAATAATAATTTCATTTCAGAAAGCAGTTTTTTTTTTTGGTTTCAAATGAGATTCATAGACATTTAGTTTAAGATATAAGAATAAAATGATAAAAATTAGAAACTTATTTTATTCTCTGCTTATTATAAGAGACACATGTATGCAGACTTAAGATGAAAAACACTGCAACATATAAAGCACTGTATTAAAACTTTTACAATTCCCTTTTTTAAAGTAATTGAGATCTACAGCAACTCATTAAAAAACACGATGGTTTCAACATTTTAATTTCTCTTCAAGATGAAAAGAATGTTTTAAATTAAATTGAATTTTCAGTACAGGAAAAAAAAAAATTTTTTAAATTGTATTTGCTCCTTCAATCTATAATTTAATTTGGCTGATGTTAGATCGAATATTTTTCCATCCAATCGTTTCTAAATGGGGTTTAGCTCATTTGTAGATGTTGTCAGTTTACCAAGAAAAAAGAAATATAGTTTCTTTCTGATTGCAGGTCTATAATTGTTTTATTTTTCTGTTTGTTCTCAAAAGGATTCCACCCATAGTCCTTTGATTATGTTAGTAGAAATTCACTTTTTTTTTTCTTCATACTATTAGCTGTCACTTATGCTTACGTTCACACCTAAAGCAGCAGAAGCAGCTAGTTTACATAGAAAGTCGATGGTTGACGCACATCAAGGCGCATCAATAGGTCCTGCAGCGCGTTTTGAGCAGCCGAAGCAGCGCCTAAGGAGCATCTGACGCACGGGACACTCTGTGAAAGCAGCGGCT